AAAGTGAAATATAAATATGAATGAGATATTTACATACCTACATAAACATACGGAATCGTTATAGCAGTATAAAAAAACAATAGTAGTTCAATCGATCAATGAAAATAGTGATAGCTATTGTATTGATTAGCTGTAATGACATACGACGGTCAGATGGTTCGTTATTCTCGTCATTTGTGAATTGTGATAAACTTTTGAATGGTGCCAGAGGAACGGATTGCGAGGCTGGCGTATCTATTTTATGAAGTTTCACTCACTGGACCTGAGACTAAACAAGACGGTCAATTTTTAATAATATATGTCTAATAATATCATAACGATTTTTCTTGTGTTTCCATCGGGTCAGTAAGTTCAGCGGAGATTCTGTAATATAGGCGAGAGAAGGATCAATTTTGTTTTCAAGAAAAATTCCTGGTAAATTTTCTATTTGCATGCGGTGAATTATTTCAAATTATTTTCCATTGGTGTTTGTGCTTTTTTTCTGTATTTTTACTCACATACATTCAAATTCTGCCAAGAACAATGACTTTGTTCGAGAAAACCACCGTGTAAGTATTATAAATATTATACTGAGTTTTGATAAAACATCACGTGATCTAAATTTTTGTTTTCATAACAATGTAAGTAGGTACGAGCTACTGGTTTTGCTATCAACGTGCGTGGGACACCACTGTATAATATCATGTATCCCACTACAATATTAATAATTATACATGTTTATTCATAGTTAATGTTTCAAAGTGGTAAACGAAGACATTGTTTTGAAATCATTTCAATGTTGACAAAATCACGTACCACGTGTAATACGCCATATTAAAATACACGAACCTGTCAAGTACTCTGTGTTCATATTGTGATTACCAAAATTTGTCATTGAACTTTATCGCGTATGAACCTATTATTCACAGGAAAAAAAAACAATTATTTTACAAGCGAGCTACTGTGAAACACTAAATTATTATCGATGGCCCGACATCAAACGGTTTTAATGTTATCAGGAAATCCATTTACAGAGACGTAGGTAGTAGGTGTAAAAGTTACTCCTGTTATTTCGAATAATGTCACATATTATAATATGATATGTGGCTCAGTATCAAAAGTCAAAGTACATTACTAGACTACTTTCTATACATACAAAATGGCAGTAACTATTAATTATTTATATAGGTAGGTACCTACGAGAACAATTATTTAGTGTACAATCACGATACAAATTCATCTAATAATGGTTTATTGCAGACAATTTTGTACCACTGCGCCAGGTTTTTTTCCAAATTTAAGTGACACATGTATAAGTAAGACCGGAACCGCTGTTTCCGATCAAAAGCACAGAAATCATATTATGTGGTTTTGAATAAGAATAAAATTAAAATCTTTTCAGTGGAATATAATTTTAGATTTACCTTTGAGAGCGCAATTGATGAACAAATTGTGACCTTCGGTGGAAACGATTGGCTATCGTATGGGTAGAAAAATAATTCTAGATATTTTGGTATTGGTATACCTTCAGGATTTGGGATATTATTGAGAACCCCGAAAAATAATTCCTATAAATAATTCTATTAAACTACAATATATAAATATACGTTATACTGTGATTATTTAGATATTTAGTAGAATATTTTATTTTTCAGGACAAAACATTAAATACCTACTTTCGGTATCGCGTTATACAATTATGGGCATGCAATTCCATGAGCATTAAAGTATTGAACGTAGACAAATACGCCGTTCTTTCATTATTTGAATACACAAAATGTAATATGTTTCTTCGTTTCTACATTTAATAGGGATCCTGGTTCAGTATTCTACAAAATTCAATTCACACTGATACTTAAAATTTAAATGAAAGTGTTGGAATACCAACAATTTCAAGAGACAAAGAAGTTGAACGAATACTGAAAACGTAGATTATCCATATTGCAATGTACAGATTTTGAAGAATTCGTCAAATGTTTAATACTTATGTGTTAAGATTAAAAATAATAATAATGTTTAAATCAAAATTTGTAAACAGATTTTTATCATAACAATAAAATTACGTGCAATTTATTCTAAAAGGAATACCGATGTTATTATTTTTACTTAAATTTGATTGTGTGGAGATTATAAAATATAAATATAATATATTGATCCATTTTGTTGTTGATGTTTCTAATTTGATGATTTATTACCTATTGTTTGTTCTTAAAATTTGCAGCTAAATTGGTTACTAACAATTTATATTGGCAAAGTTGTTAGAAAGTTAAAGAAACAAAAAATGTTTTCTATTTTTCATACCTAAAATATATTTTAATACAGTTTAAAATAACAATTTATACCTATCACTTATATAGAAATATAGAAAATAAATGTTTCAAGTATATTTATTTGCAATAGACTATTAGACAAATTAACAACTATAATAAGTGGAATTAATTTGGTACTTTTTAGTAACTACATAATTTAAAATAAATAAAAACATAAAAATATAAACCAAAAGAGTACCTAGAGTTTAATTTTGTATGGACATTGTACTAAAGAATCAAAAACAGGCATAGGTATTTAAGAAATAATCAAATATACAAATTAATTTTTTGTTAACTGTAAAAATAATTTTTTTGAAACTCATTATGCTTTAATTAAAAAATGTGGATAGCCATATAGGTAAATGTATATTTAAATAAATATATATTGTCCGTCTAGTTGCACCATTAACATTAGTATAGTAGAGTTGAAAAAATAAAATAGAGTACTTTTGCAATTCTTACAGATCTAAGAGTTTCAGGATTTTTTTTTTTTTTTTATTGATCCTGAGCCCGGCAACTGTGGCCATTAGCTATTAGTAGGTACTGTAGGTTTTTGTATTGATGGTTTGTAGGTTTTTTGGAACGGTAGGGGGAACACGTGTGTGTTTGTTTTGGCAGAATTTCGAATGGGGCACCCGTAGGTTTCTGCCATGCCCCGGGGGTGGGGGATGGCAGCACTTGCTCTCCGGTCACCGCGACTTGTCCGGAGAAAAATGCCGCCCGGTGGCCGAGGATCGAACCGCGACCGGCTGCGTCGCAGCGGAAGAGTCAGACCACTCGGTCACCTCGTCCCCCAGTTTCAGGATTACCTGTATAACTATTATACATATTATAATATATATTGTGTAAAATAAACAAATATTTCGCTGATAAAATTCATCTCTATTTATTATAAAAATGTCAATACTATTTTAATATTTTCTTCTCACGTTGGGAAATATAATTATTGCAACTCGAACATCCACCTCAGTAGAATGAGTGAATTGATTTAAAAATCTTCAGCTCACTTTATTGTAATGTATTGAATGATAAATTTTAAAACTCATTTTTTCTACTAAGAGCTGAATGAAAATAAGATGAATTATAAAAAAAGGCATTGATTTGTGAAAAACAAGTAAACCCAAAGCGAACAGTAATATTTGCTTTTCAGACGAATTTCAGTTATCACAAATGTATTGTTTTCGTGGGTGACGCGCCTACGCAATAAGTTGTAGTTGATTGCTTAATACCCTAGTATTATGTTTCTTTGATGCTTCGGTATTTTCATTAGCATTTCAAACTGTGGATATTTTGTTGGACTATTTGGTCCGTCTACAAAGCAAACCCAAAAGTGAATATTAAAACTTTTCTCAATACAAAAAAATAGTGAGAATAATGTTAAGTGTTGGGTATTCGAAGATATATATTGCGTAGTTTAAACGACTTTTTATATTGAATATCATGGTTGAATTGTGTAAGTCTGGTATGTGAATAGTTTTTTTCCTAGTGTAACAGAGTGATTCCGAGGAATTCAATGTAAAGTTGAACGCGATACCTTCGTATGAATAACTAAGCATCAAACTAAATTCAATAGTTTATCGTATATGTAACTGTTAGTATGTGTTTAATAATAATATTAATATTGTGTTTCCATAATATTATAATATGACATTGGACAAGGCGTGTTTTGTTGCTTGGATTAAGAGCGGTATCAAACTAATAGTAAAGAACTCGGTAGGACCTCTGAAATCGTCGATTTGAAACTGAATGTTTTTTTAGAAAACTTTAATACGGACACAAAACAATAAAGGGAAAAATCGTATGACATATTTTGTTTAAAGTTTGAATGTTTTCAAAGGCGTGTCGGTGCGTATCATTTTGTATTGTTTGGTTTCACATGGTGTGTCTTTGTCCTTTACGAACAAACGTTTTCACGCTTCAATCATTCAGTTCGGAAAGATCCCCTGTAACTGATTCATACTTATATGCCTATTTCGCAGTGGATTTGAAGTATACGGAATTCACGTCATACCTATACAAAAAATTACTCTACTACCAACCATTTTATTTTGTGACACTGTCGTTAGGCTATGTCGCGTTTTAATACCTAGGTACGTAAGAACTCATCGACGAACAAAATACAATATTATATGAAATCGAATGAACATCAGGAATCAACGAATACACATATGTCTAGTATTGTCTGCACAATGCACTGTGTCATGTCAAATTGCATATATTATACCACTGACCAACTAAAACACATAATTATTTTTCATCTCTCTGATTTTTAAAGTTGTATACAGTTTTTAGTGACAACTGACTGCCTCTGATTTTAATTTAAAATTCTGATTTAGAATTTTCAAAAAATGTAGATTTACAAAAGTCAAATACTTGCCAACAATTTTACAAACCATAACTGTCTAAACTTTTATGAAACATAGTTTTTGACTAAACAAAATCAATCAGTAATGCGAATAAAATCATTCATACACAGAATAATTTTGTAAAAAATAAAAGTACAAAATAACCGTAATACTTTTGAGATGACCTCCATGAAAGTAGATATTTTTTAATGGGAAACAATTATAATGACATACTGATTTGTTGAATTGTATTTATAATCACTGTCAAACTCAAGGTTGATATTATAGTTTGTTGGAATAAAGTATTAGGTACTACCTATTATGTGAATTCTCTGTGATTAAACTATTGAACAATATTATACTTTTTTAATTTTTCATGTAATTTTTTTGAATTTTTTTTCAACTGATAAGTGATTTATGTAGATTACTACGTGAGTGTGATGCATATCAGTTTACACTGCGCATTAAATCAAAATAAAATGTAGAACAAATTATAACATGCAAATCATAAACAATTTCAGTGCTACAACAGACAACAATGAGTACCACATGAATAAACATAAATGTTGATTCTTGTTATTAAATATTGTGATGTGTTTTTGTATAAAGAAGATCAACGTTTTTATCTGTTAAAAATTGAATCAAGAAAAGTATCAAATTAGTTGCTCTCGAGATCTACGAACTACCAGGTATTTTTTTTCAATTTTTGCACCTTCTTGTCACACAATACCATCGGAGAATTAACAAACTATACTTATTCAGTTATTAATATATTAAGAAACGTCATAAACTTAGAGCGTCAATTTCACACTAAAATTATTTGTACATTTATTTTAGAAAATTAATTTTTTTATATTTTATTCCGCGAAGATCAAACGCAAATTAAATGCGTCTTGTATTTGTTATTGTTGTAGATTTAAGGTTATTGATAATCAATGATATGTAATTTTGTTATTTTGTTTTATCTGTAATATGAATGTTGATTTTCATACTTTTGAATACTCTGATTAAATTTTATACACAAGAAATTTGATTCCACCCAATTTTTGATTATTTTTTTGTCTCTGCTGAATTTAAGTTAGTTATGATAAATTGTAAATAAAGTAGTATTTTATGAGTTACTGGTTGATAGATTTAGATTTATAGTCAAAATATGTCTCTAAAGCATTATTTATTGAAATCACATTTTTTTTGTAATTTGTACAACCCATAGAATGATCGTTAGTTGGTCAATAAGTACAGTCACCTATCACACAGATACATAATATATTTTACTATTGGTTTCAAAACAAAATATAATATCTTAAACCGAAACTAAAATGTATATACACATGGTTAGAGAGATTTTAAATTGAATAAATAATGATTTTTTCGATTTGAGTCTTATGTAGTTAAAAACATCTGTAGTATTGGCAATAAAGTACGTTAAAGAGAAACTATTCCATCGTTTACATTCATTTTAGACTCAACTAGTGGAAAATGATTTGAAACTAATAGAAAAGTTTAATCAACCACAAAACACTTACAAATCCTTCCTACATCTGTACTTCATTTAAAAGTATGGATCGGTTTATAAAATGCATGATGTTATAGTGATTTATCTACCAATAATGGGTATACAATTTTACGGTTTTACTCGAAAATTCATCCATCCCACGAATACACCTCTTCTCCGAGCACTCATACTATAAAACCAAAATATGGTTGACAAAAAATGTTTAAGTTATGCTTTTTCCACTAAATGCGACCGATGGATCAAGGTGTTATTAAAAAACTTGGACGTAGCTACATATTTTATAGACGTAAATTTCAGATATTTACAATATCGACGACGAAGAAGAAAATGTTATTAATTTTTTGAAAACTCAACGTATGTTACAGTATAGACGTATAGTTATTGTAATAGTTCGGTAGAAACTTTACAATCACTTACCATTTACAAAAGAAAATACGTCTGGAATAAATCATGACCTGCGATAGAACAAAATAAGTTTGAGGTTTTTTTTTTAATCGTTTGTTAATTTTTATTTCATTCATTTTTAGATTCATTTCTGAGTTAATCTATACATTTTAATTATTTTGCTATAATGTTTATTTCATAATATTATATTTGAACAGTTTTTTCTGGTTCACGCGGTATTCCTTCTATCAATATTAAACCGAGTCTAGTCAGTCGGTATATTTAAAGGGTTGTCTTTAGACTTTTTAAATAGTTTCTGAAAGTCAACGACATATGTTGAAGATGTGTCAAGTCAAAATGTCAATAAGACACCAAACACCGCCTAAATTGTTATTTGAATTTGAAAGTTTTCAATTGCTTTTAAACGCAATATCACTACCAATACACCACTGAAGTGCAGACATTGTCCAAGATAAACACCAGGTTTTTGTATTGCCAGGTCTTATTTAAAAAAATATTTACCTATATTATACGTTTTACAATTTATATAAAATGTATGGGTACATTATAATAATAATTTAGTAGTGTTACAATTATAGTGGCTAGTTTATACAGGAGAAACTAATCGGAACTCTTAGTACCTAAGTATAAGTACGTATAATTTTTTCCAAATCTAATAATATATTATGTAAACTAAACTGAATAACGAATGAATGAATGAATGTATATTGTATAGGTATATCTAGTAATATACCAAATTATACATAGGTACACAATAAAGTAATTTAATTAAATTTAACAATTAATGTAACGAAATAATTTGAACAGTTTTAAATTAAGTTTTTAAGTAAAAACTCATTATATAATTTAATCTGAGTGTAATTAATTTTGAAAATATTTACAGCATATTTTTATCTATAACTTTATTAGTATTTCACAACTATTACACAATTATTTGAGTAACTGTGCATCATACTGAATGTTTTTAATACGCAAAAGTTTATTAGTTTTCAGAAATGTTCAAAAATATAGTTGAAATAATTATATAGCACTAGATTATCCTAATTGTTAAAACGAGCTTTACCATAAAGTCCAAATAAAACAATTAAAACAACAACAATTAAACTGTGCTGAGATTAACGAATGTCGACGAGTCACTGCAGTCTTTATCCTTTTATCTTTTTTCAAAAATTATAATCTAAATTCAAACAATTTTCTCGGTATCCCGTAAATTCCTGCAAAGTCCATCAATGCTACATAAACAATCTGTGTAACAAATGCTTTAACACTAATAATTTCCCGAATTTTTACTGTCTTACCTTTTCTACTGCTGATGGTTTTGTTTCTTACGCCATATAGCTCTTCGTTAATTCTGTATTTCATTATTCAAAATGTTCAGAAAACTTACCTTTTAAAATAACCATTTAGCTTTACTGCCAAATGTCTTAACGTTATATTTTACGCTTTGCAAACGATACATCCTCTCTCGACTAATAATCTTCTCACTATTTGTATCATTCAATCAGTCCCACTATCAACCCTTTTAAATTTGTTTCGATCTTATTATTATTATGTCTCTTATTTAACCATATTATGTAAATGAATTCGTCACTACTTACTTCCCCATTCGTAAATTCTATATAACCGATTTCCCTGCAGGCATACTGGCGTATTTCATTGAATTTATATAATTTTCAATATTTTGTTTTTTAACCGAGAGCAGTTTACAGTTCGATATACAGTGGTTATTGAGTATAGGCATGCCTATATATAGTTATTAACTACTTATCCATTAGTCAGATGAAAACGATTTATTGACATCAAACACCCTTTTTTCGTAATTTAATTACATTTATTACATAATATAGTCTGAACTTCTGTCAATAGGCGGTTCGCCAACACTGCTACGCACATTTTTCACTGAAAGTTAAAAAAAAAAACCATGTCTCTAATGACGATACACAAACGTATACGAATCATATTATGTAAGATGGACTTAAAAATCAATAGTCAATAAATATTTCTTATATTCACATCGTTATTATACGGTTAATATTTCTGACCAGTTTGAACTTATATGAACTAATATTTCATCACACTATAAAGCTTTTATTCGTAAAAATGTTAGCTTTACATTTTCAACCACCAATTGGCAATCATTCGAATACACAAAAGTTGTGATATGGATGTTGATGTGTTATAAATTATGAACAACAAAATATATCAAAAAAAGGGGGCAATTGGATACCTAGCCCGCTGTTTTTGTGTCATTTGAGTCACTATTGCTACAGTAATTCATTACGGATGATGTGTTAGTTTTGGATTCAATGATTTAAAATCATTATCTACGAACAAATATTCTAAGGTCGTCGACCTTATTAGGTACTAAGTTTATTTTATAATATTATTGCAATCAGAATGTATGGAAATTATTCGTATAAAGATTTAGTGGACACTTCATGTTCTTATGATTTTTCGTTTTTGAGTAACACGAAAAAAAAATCAATTTCGTCAAAAACTGGTTTTGGGTAAAAAATCCTGTTATTATTGATTATTTTTTGTTTTCTCCACGCTTTTGATAACTACTAGATTTTTTTTGTTTTGACCTCTCGAAATACGAACTAGTTACTTTCCTACGATAAAAGATCCTGAAGTAGAAAATCAAAACATTTCTACTGCTCTAAAAGGTGACGCCAGACACCAAAAAAAAAAAAAAATTGTCTTGGATGGCTCAGAATCTAAACAGGTGTAAATTTAATTGGTACAAAAATATAGCTAATTGTATAACCTATAGTAGTATATTATTGATAATTGTTTATAGTGTCATGGTTTCTAGATTTCCCGAATTCCCGAAGTCTTCTTTTCATTCAATATACTTTGATATTGAACATTGTATCTTATTACCTAATGGATGTACAGGAAACCTACTTTTATATTTTGGTTTTTATGTATTTATTACTATCAATAAATCGGTCGTCTCGTCGAGGTTTATCTATACTGTCAATGCAGACGGTACGTATCGGTCAGCAGGTACAACTGGTGTTCACTAGTCCATTGACTTTTATTCGGTGCGTGACCTCATTGCTGTTTCAAATACTAAAAATAATTTTTAAATTTTTTATTTATACCGTGTAAAATAAATAAAATTTAATAAACTAAAGGTCAAACTGTTGATTATTATGACTAAAAATGAAAATCACTTGCATTTTTATTTCATTTATTATTTATACTTTAAGCATGGATTCCTATATAAACTATTATTTAGTTGGTTTATAGGAAAAGTATAAACCTGAATTCAAAGAAAGACAATTTAAGTTTCATATTTTGCATTAGACATGACGTGTACTCACCTTTAAGTAAAGTATTATTTTATTTTCCTATTAACATAAACGTACATCGCATATTTACAATACCTACGATCTTGCTTTTCATCGCTCTAAACCGTTATCACTACTATTTTTCATTAAGATAATGTCATTCTAATTTTTTCGCAGTCTCATTGATTGTTCAATTCCGCCTCCAGAACTTTTTCTTATCCTTTATCTTTTTGTCCCCAAATCCTTAATTTGTCGTATGGTATTTATTATTGTATATTTAAATTGCTGTTTCATCTCATTTTGTATACAAGTATCATCACTTTTGATCTTGTTTTTCTTATTTAGTCTATTTTATATTTGTATATAATACTAAGTTGTAGATTATGTTTTTACTATTGCATTGTTCAAGCAATATTATTGTTAAAAATATAAGAAATTATATGCTAATATTTTAATAAATAAAATACAAGCA